TTGGAGTTTATTTATCTCCTCCTTTTACAATCTTAGATAAAACAGTCTTAGTTAAATAGGGCTAATAGCTCTTCAGGAATTATTGCAAGGTCCTGCCTTAACCACAAGTACAACATAGCTGTCCAAAATCGCCTCTCCGTTGAACAGCAAAGAACCAGATGTGGATGCAATCAGAAGCAGAGTTTATTGAGCTGGCTAGCCAGGGCCAAGCTCCTCACACGGACACGCAGGACCGGTGGATGAAGCAAGACCCCGAGCTAGGGACAAGCCAGATTCTTATAGGCCAGTTTGGCTGTTACAGCAAAGCCCACGCCTGCAAAAAACACTCCAATCATTTCAAAGTAAATATGAAACACTCCAATCAACTAAAAGCCCGTGAAATGCCTCAAGTCCCTATTCATCATGACAAGACAAAACTATTCTAAGCTAAAGGGTTACAGATGCAAAGCAATAGGTAACGTATCTGTAAAATACAGACCATGGGGCTATTTTACACTTATCAGGGCCACTGACCCTTACTTACATCCTGAGCCTGGGTGCGGTGGACAATGGACTCTTGCTCTTACTCTTATCAGTGCCTGCAAAAGACCCACTGACCCTCACAGCCTAAGCCTGAGAGTGTGGCCCAAGTTATTTGTAGAAACTTTTTACTTTAAATTCAAGTTGCTTTTGACTTACTCAACCCACTTCTAATATGTAGACCTTTTAACATTTTGGTTGCCTCTAACAATAGCAAACCTTAGAGATTGAGCCAAGGGATAATATGTTGGTTGTGGTATCAGGAAATCCTCTTTGTGCCTCCAGTGCTGGCAACTGGTCTACTAGCATGTGATGACACTAGTTGAGCTGGCAGTCAAACTTTTTCAAAAGAGAAGTTTGGAGGCAGAGACTAGTGGGGCAAAAACACCACTCTCTGTCCTTCTCTTGCCCTTGTCTTGATATTTTTGGTTTCCATTTCTACGCTTTCAGTGATAAGAAGTCCATCATCAAACCCATTTACAAAAAGCCCCAGTGAGTGACCTCACTATTTGGTCAAGACAGGTGCTTGTTTGCTGATGCCTTGATAATGCTAATAGTCATATCATTGTATTTTGTCTCCATCTTCTGATGTGTGTGTGTGCGTGTGTGTGTGTGCAGGAGGTACACATGGAGATTGAGGATCCAGGAGGATGTTGATGTCAAGAAATAGCCAAGAAGTGCCAACTGCTTCCTGTCTTCCTTGCTGTGGATGAGAGAGGGCCACAGGCAGTCTTAAGTGCTGCATCTGAGCCATATCTTCTGTTATGCAGAATCTCTGGGCCAGAAAGAGAATGTAGCTTGTCTTTCCGAGCTCTGAATCTCAGAAAGTGGATACTGCTTATCTTATCATTTTGTCTTTAATTGTGGAGAAAAGACAATCAGAAGTCTAAATCTCCCAAGCTTGATTTTTGGTGTAACTTGATTGTGGCCCTCTCAGAATCTACTCTAGACTAACCAAAAGCCAAGGAAATGTTCTGATTCACATAATTTCTCGAACATGTTTGCCATAGTTCTCACCCACGCAGCTGACAAGACCAAAAAGCTGGTCATTGAGAGTAAGATAGAAAACTGAGTTGAGAGTCTACTCTTGCTGTTCCTTGTGGCCAACATGGGCCAACAGCTATGCTAAGGCTGAGTGTTTTTGTTAGGACTGAACCCGCCTTAAGGTGTCTGAACTTAACCATGCTTTGTGGCTTTTCATTTAAAGGGATGTATAGTAACTGTGTAATGGGAACTCTCATATCCAGATGTGATGTACAATGCAGTATGTGTGTCCACTTCCAGATCAAAGATGAACTCCCAATGCAACTGTTAAATATATCTTGACAATAGGATGCTGGACTCTCTGCCACTGTCCAGGCAGGACATTCCTCTCAATTCTTTTTATTTTTTCCTTCTATTTTTTTAAATTTTATGGTACAATTCCCATAGACTGTGGAATTTTCCTTGTTCTCCCACCAAATCCTCCCCCCAACTGATTTCCCCTGTATTTGCCCAGTGTTCCCAGGGTGATGAATTATATTAACAGGGTCCAGTGTGATGGCTCAATGGCTAAATCCTCACCTTGCAAGTCCTGGGATCCCATATGGGCACTGGTTCATGTCACAGCTGTACCACTTCCCTTCCAGCTCCCTGCTTATTGCCTAGGAAAGCAGTAAAGGATGGCCCAAAACCTTGGAACCCTACACCCACATTGGAGAACTGGAAGAAGTGCCTGGATCACTTCAGACAAGGTTTCTTTGGGAATCCTCTGAACTGAACTGTTGGATTCATAACCCCAACCATGGGGAGAATCACAGGATCTGTGGTCTAATTGTGGAGTGTGTGTGTCAGAGCTGCGACTCCTCACTGGCTCGGATGGAGCAGTGGATGGCACTCCCAGATACAAATGGAGGATATGGCAGTACATTGGAATCTGCAGAGGACAACTGGTTCCATAACAGAGGAAGGAGAGCAGAACAAATTAGTCAACTACCCTAGCCAAATAATGACAGCAATTATCTATGCGAATGGAGACTACGGTGGACTATGTCAGCCAAAGGACCTTGGAAGGATTTCCTCATCCTTGTATTGGTGATATAAACAGCATTTCAGAACTATTGAACTATTGAAACCACTTGAGCAGAACTCTTGGATTATGTTTCACACCAGAAACTCTGGGATGATGTCAGGTGGCCAGTCCCCATCCCTGGATACTGAGGTGGTTGGGAGGCTGGGTACAGCTTCATCTTGTATCTCCCCACTTCCCTTAGATAGAGGAAGAAAAAGAAATGTGGAAACAATGGTCTCACTCACTTTCCCCTAACTCCAACCCTTTCCACCCTAATCAACTATGTAAACATCATCATCCAAGATAGAAATCATTTGGGGGAGATCAGTAGTGTTAAGCTAGAGCAGAGTCGGGGAGGTTAGTATGAAAAGAGTTATGACTCAGCATCAATGTTGGTGGGAGACATCTCAGTGGAATGTTGGATCTTGAAGCTAAAATTCATGTTTTATAAAATGAAGTGCAAAACTACAGGCTGGAATTTTAATTTTTTTAGAGTACCCTCACTAAGAAACAATAAGAAAAGATTGTAGGTTAATAGAAATCAGTGTTCTAAACCTCATGATATTTCTAATGCAAGGGGGAATCTAAAAGGAAAACTGCAGACATGGTAGTAGGGTTTTGAGAAGTTTTGTAGCTTGATTTCAGATGGTCTGAGCACATAGTCCACCGTAGCTAGGCCATATTCATGCTTGCTTTCTTATAGCATTGCAGTGTAAGTCTCATGTATAAATCACTTTGTTAGCCATTTTTGGTTTGCTTATTCACCCTTTTTGCTAGACTAGAAGAAAATGGGGGAAAATTAGTCTTCATGAGTACTTACATCAAAGTGAGAGCTCTGAAATGGGTGTGAGGCCAAGTGTAGATCAGTGACTGGTGTTGATGCCACCACATCTCCTTGTGCTTGTGAAGTTCATAATAAATGCTCTATTTATAATAAATAGCTGTGACGCACCTGTGCACGACAGGGAGGATCCTTACTACTGCAAACTGCTGACATCACCAATCCAGGTGGGTTAGCTTTTTCTTAAGATTGCCATATGCAAGTTGGCTGCTGAGTAAAAGTTGCTACATTTAGTAGTATAGAGTCTGTTTTAAATAGACTGTGTGTCTTTAACATTTACATCTCATCCTATTTTGAGCAATCAATCAGGGCAAAGCTTCTACTATTTATTAGTAGTAAAGGAACAACACTTTGTGTTAGAAAATTTTCACATATATATTGATAGACTACAAATTTTTAAAAATATATTTACATAAAGCTAGATTAAAATTGTACCTATTTAATTTTTTGATGATCTAAAAGTCACTGAGGGTTATTGTAGTGTCTAGAAGTCATGATAAGCATTAATCATCATGATATTGTAGATGTGAAGAGGTTGGAGTCGTAGCATTTTCAGTGCAACAGGATCGCCTGTACCCAGGCTGCAAGTACAAGGTATACTTGTTTTACATTAAAAAATAGCTAAAAATATTCTAATTTCTTAACTAATTGTTTTTAATATACATTCATATGTAGATGGTTTTATTTACTGAACAGTTTTTAATTTTTGCTTTTCGTAAGTTAGATGGAATCTTAATGTGGTTTTTATTTGTATTTCCTTGATACGTGGAAGTCTGAGCATATCTTAAAGCAAAAAAAAAAAAAAAAAAAAAGAAAAGTTAGTATCCAGTAGGTTTGCCATGCAGGCAAATATTTTAAATTGCCCATCAAAAATAAATAGCTTTGGAATTTACAGAGCAATACAGAAGTTTCTATTGTGACTTTCTATTGCACCTATTTATCTAAGATTTCAAATAGATGCCTTCCAGTTGGCTTAAATGCAATTTTCCTCTGTGATGGATTACACATATATGCATGCACACATATATATGCAGGAATCCAGTGAAGAAGTTCTGACTGAAAAACTCACATGTGGCAGAAAGCATTCTTAATTCAAAATATTTTGATTTTTCTGAAAGCAGCCAGCCATGTTTGTCAAGATTTGTTGTGCAATTTTTTTTGCCCTGCCTGGTAGTATACACCCTTTGCAGGTCTCAACGATCTGTCATGTCCCCTATGGGCCTCTAGGCATGCCGTCCACTGCATGTACTTCAGCAACCAAGGAGGCCAGGTTCTGACACACACAGCCCAAGGTCAGACCAGAGATCCTATGATTTTCCCTGTGCTTGGACTTTTGAGTGCAGTGGTCCAATTGCAGGGTCCCAGATAAACCTTGCCTGAGGTGACCCCAGAGCTGACTCCTGTGTGTGCCAGCCAGTGCAGGATCTGGCTCAGTCTGTCATGCATGACGGTGTGCTCTGTGGTTGCAGTTAGTTCCGTCCCCAGCCCCATCTCATAAGCAAACCAATGGATGCTGTGGCCAGGCTGTGTTTGAATTGTGTGAGTAGACATTGTGGGGTGTTCACCCCTCCCACAAGCACTTAGTCAAAGGCATAATCACAAAAGAGTTTATTAGGGAAAACACTAGGCTGATGGAACAGAGGAGGCTTCATGAGTCAGGAAAACATCCAGAAAATGAACATAAGATGTGACTCACAGGCCTGTTCAGGATATGGTTTCCTGTTCCAATCCTAGAATGGTTCCCCTGGAAAGCAGAAGATTTTGCAGTTAGTTCACCATGTTTACTCTTATTCCTCCCCTCTTCGTTTTGTCCTCTATATGTGGGCTTCTGATGAAAATTTTCATGTCAGCTGAATCTGTGAGTCTTTACACTATGAAAAACAAAGGCCATAGCCACTGTGCTAATAACCTGTTCCTACACTCTCATCATTGTCTGTTTCTTGTGGGGTCTGCATTTTAGTAGGAGAAGAGTGGGGCTTTGACTTTTTTATTAAACACAGAATTTTTAAAAACCCTCTAGTGTGAGCTATTACACCCTCAGCCTTATTTAATATGCTTGGCATCTCTTGGAGATCTGATGGCAGTGGAGATTTCATTGGAACATATTTGCCAGATATTTGTAGGGTACTCTTCCCATGGATTAAACCTCTTCCTGCTCCAAATAGCCTCAGAAACCCTTAGTATGCCCACATTGCAGAAGATAGCTGAGGCTGTGAGGCAGCTCCAGGAAGTAATAGCGTCAGGAGCTGGGAATGCAGGGGCACAGAGTCACATCCAATGTGAAACAGAGGCAGCTGAGGGCAGAGGAGCTGGGTTGATGCATACAGGCAACCAGTTCGTGACAAGGTTGAATTTTTTTGGATCTGCTTTGTGTTCACTCCCATGATCGAGAACCCTAACCCATTAGAATTCTCAGTCCTTTCCCCTTCCCTCACATTGTGACAAATGGCCTTAGTGCAACAAGGGGACTCTGACCAGGAGTGTGCCCTGTGACATTGTGTCATGGAGACACTGAAAGCCAGGGATGTCTCCCTTTCACTCAGCTGGGCATGTGACTCCCCAGTCATGTTTTGTACACATCTGCAAAATTACCATTTCTAGCTTCTGAAAACCTTTCCTGTCTTCGTCTAAACAGACACCTGTTGCCTGAAACAATGCGGGCTTGTGGTATAGCCCCTTGGAGTGTCCTTAGAAATGTGAGCGTAGTTACAAGGCCCTCAGATAAAAACCCTGGCATGACCAAGGGGACATCTTGTTTCTTAATCAAAACGAGATAAAGGATGGATACGTTTGGCAAGTCTGTTCATTTGTGCTGATCATCATACCAAACTCTGGAGCTAGATGTGGTAGAGGTCTTGGAGACCACCAGACTGGAGGAGGTGGCACATAGCACATGAATGACGACCTGGGGCCACCCATGTAGTAGACCGTGTGAGGCGACTTTGGGAAAGGAGGAGGCCCTCCTGTAGCCATGTTGACCTGCAGAGCAGAAGTTGGCATGTTGAGATATATTAATATAATGGGCATCACCAATATCACCCAAACTGAATCACTTAAAACAAGTGACGTTCCCTGGTACTTTCCCCTCCACCAGGGTTCGAATAAGCAACTTCAAGCCATTAAGGGCTTCTCTCCCACTGATTCCCAACAGTTTGAGGAGTAAAGGGAAGTCACAAAAATGAACTGCTATTAGTATAAATTGCTGTTTATGTCTGCATATGTAGGAAGATGGGGCCTGACCCGGAAAATCTGGGTCATGGGCAAATGATAAATATACACATTCCATGCAGACAACTCCTATGTCGGTGACAAATCCTAATCTACCTCCTCATATCATTCACAGACTGTTCCTTGTACATTAAAAAGGGATCATTAGGATGGCAAAGTGCACACATTCTCCTTTGGCAACCAGCTCTGCCCTGTGAACCTGTCATCCTTCTCTGTCCCTTCCCAGGCTGAGGATCTCCTCTCTAGAGTTGCTGCATCAAGACACACACAGCTCTTGGGCAATGTGGATTCCTGCTGTTGTGCAGGGAAACCAGGAATGTGTTTTGAGAGAAAGCCTGTTACCCATGGAAGTTAGGTAATCACAGCCACTTAATTCACAGGCAGGAGAGTTGCAAACTGATTTTATCTTGCAGGCAATGAAGGTGGGGATAAAATAAAAACAAAATGTGTTTTCAGTTCAAACTACAGTTATCTTGTGACATTGGAATAGAAAGTCACCACTGAAGCACCTACACAGATCATGCCACAACTTGCCTATGGGAACATCGTTTGATGCTCTTTGTAACTGCCCCAGCAGGTAATTACAGAGGGTCAGTTTGCATTATTACTGCAAGCAAACATTTACTATTACATATATGTGATTCCTGAAACTTCAGTATATTTTGTGGAGAGCATCCATACATAGTTGTCTGCATAACCCATTTACCAAGAGAAATGAGACAGTGGTTTTCTTTGTCCAAGGGTATTGAACATCTCCCACAGCACACACAAAAAAATTTACAAGATGAAAGTTTATGTTCCCCATGGGTCCAGAAAACAGAAAATGTCCAAAATTGTATCAAAACAAAATGTGTAATTTTATTCCAATACCTAAATAGGACCTGACTATTCCACAAGGTGAAGTAGCTGAATAGGAGACGCTGTGTCATGGTCTGGAGGTTGCAGCCACCATCCTCCTGTGAGTCCCAGAAGCTTCCCAGCACATCACACTTCAGCCTCTAAGCATTCAAGGTGAAAGCACCACCAACAATGCCAGGCTTGGAAGGAAGAAGCCGATAGACCCTTGGGTTTAGACTTGACTTCTTGTAAATGTAAAGACACAGCAAATACATCACAGTGCACACATGCCAGCAAACAGAGGAGCGTGTGTTGTGCACAATGATCGGTTTTCCTGTTATCATTACAACAAAATTGGCCACAACATTTACCTTTCCTTTCCTAGTGTTCTCTGCAGGGAATGAGCCAATATTCTTCGTACTGCTTGCACAAGTCCCTGGATCTGCTAAAAGGTCAAGAAAAAAACTGGGTGTGTTCTTTTTGCTGAAAATGTCCACTTATTTTTTTTTAAAGACAAAGATAAATTCCTTCTTCTTGCACAGCAAGACTAAAACATGTGCCCAGAACTCAACCACTTAACCCTCCTCTGCTGCTTCCCTGGCATGTTAGCCAGAAGCTGCGTTGGAAGCAGAGGCATGATTCAATCCAAGACATTCCACTGACCCAGAATGCAGGCAGCACCATCGGCAGCTTAACTCGCTGTACCACAGTGATTGCCCGTGGAGTTTGACTTAATATTCTGTTCAGAACATCCAAACGCGTTTTCAACACCTGACACTCGAAAACCGTGTTGTGTATCTTGTCAGACACACAGGGTTTACCAGGTACCTCCTAAGATCTGTGCATACAAGTGGAAAGGCCATGTTGTGGTGAAAGATGATTGTACCCAGTTAGCCTATATCAGTGGTTTTAAGCACAAGCTTCTTCACTGATGATAATTCAGAACTCCAAGTAAATATGAAATTAAATTACTTAACACAGAGAGAAAATGTTAATTTAAGTATACTCTTGGATACAGAGTATCAACAGATCTTGGACATTTAAGCCACAGAATACTTTTGCAAATATTAATCCACGTGTAACTGTTCTTCCTGATGTGATCAGGTGTGAAGTGACTGTTCATAAATTAAGATGGTCTAGAATATATTAATAGTTGTAGTAATGACAAAAAGAAAAGGCCTTTTATTGGGTTACTAAAATCTTAGTTATTGTTACATTAGAAAAGTATAATTACATAGAAATAAAATTCAACTGATGCAGTTCTGCAGTTGACAATAAAAAACAATAAAACAAAGCACCCATGCCCGAGTGTAAAATCAGAGATTGTACAATATTACTACAGGAACATAGTCAAGAAAATTGCCTCTCTCATCAGGACATGCAACCTTTATTTTCAAATACTGCGACGGCTTTTCTTCTTAACACAAATAAGGCCTCCATCACTGACTCAAAGTCACAGAAGGGGCTGACCTAGTTCTCCTCTATACCTCCTTGTCAGTTAAAAATAAATAGAGTCAGATGGGCAGGAGAAAGTCCCCAGCAACACTGGGATCTGAGCTCTACCCTTCCAGTAAAAAGCCATCTGACCAGGACACCGGATGAAAGCATGCTGCCACCCCGTGGCACGATGATTTCTCTTTGCCAAGTTCATGGCATTCTCATCGTGAAACAAGGCTCACTTCCCGGAACCAGCAATGAAAAGGGTAGACTCTTCAAAAGAATGAAAGCTTCCACCCTTTCCCACCATTCCTACCTCTCGGAGAGTTCTCCCAGGCATGTTCCACTGGGACTGGCTTCTGGCGCCTGTATTTCTCTTCCCGCATCTGTACATGTAGTATTTCCAATCTTGAGGATAAATGATGGGCTTAAGATTAGAGCACACACACGAACAAGTTCTTTGACATTCAACCCCTAAGTCGTAAATCACAAACACCCTTAACATATCTGTTTCTTCCTGCACCTGTGTCTTAAGTGTGCAGTCTCTCTTCTCTGTACCGTCAACTGCTTCTCCAAAGCTTGAGCCTTGCGCTATCAGAGGAAAATACAAGCATGTTCAGTTGTGGAAAACTGGGCAAAACGGAAAGAAACCAAGAAACGCTCTTACCTTCATGTTATGAGCCCTCTGTTTCTGAACAGCAACCTACAAAGATCAACACAGAAATGCAGCTCAGGGCTTCTCGGGGCCTCTTGAGTGTCTGCATTAAAGCTGAAGGGCTTTGTTACTGCTGGGTAGAATGAAGGTTACCTCCTGTCTGAAGGTCTGGGTTTGCTGCTGCTGCTGAGCCTGAAGTTCGTTCAGTCTTCTCCTGTGATTTAGAATCATTTTCATTAGATAAGGTGTGATATCTTGATTAAGATTTTAAATAATGTTCTCATGTTTTCTTTTCCTTGAAACTATACCCTTACACAGCTTACTCGCAGATGTCAAAAATATTTCACCATTGCTGCAATCTAGTATTTTATCATTTTTCTTACCTCTCATGTTCATGCACACAGGGTTCTGAGCTGATGTAACCTTCTTACCAAGTCTGTTTTCTTGTTTCACTGCAATGTTATTTCCTTTGTTCCAGACATTTTTATGTTTCCTAGGTTTTCCTTGAGTACCTTTTGTCATAAAGATCAAGTTTCCTATTGCCCATATCAGCACTGGAGCTGGAGTTGTACCTCTGTGAGGTGAGACCAACTTACCAGTTAGCTAAGGCACTGAGGAGGCATATTGCCACCCTGTAGAAAAATCATTTTTCTTTGGTAAGTGCATGAATTGGGGAAAATTTAATGGATTTGATCTATTTTATCCTAAATTGTCATTCTAAGGGTTATTATTCTCACTACTCTCAAATTGTTTGTATGAATTGAGTTTCCATATAAACAAGCCAGCATTTGTAATCAGAAAATGTGCAGTAAACATATAATTTAGTTATTTGTAAACTTAAGATATGTTGTATGATCTTGTGTTAATCATTTGCACATCTCTTGAACAGTAGTTATAGTTTCATTCCAACCAGTGTTTCTGGAGTTGCTGTTCAATCTCTGAACTCACTTGTAGCTCTGTATTTCTTCAGCCTGCTTCACATTTTCCTCCTTTGCTGATAGCATCCTCTGCTTTTCTATCCACTCTTGTTGTCTCTCTGACCATTTCCTAAAATGGGAAAGAAATACACATTTCCCAGAAATACATGTGAAATTCTGTCATCTTACATTCTAGCAATCAGAGGGCTCACGTGAAAATCCCCTCACAGCCTCTGTAAAAATGCACAGACCCACACAGTACAATTGAAGCTTGCTGTGGAGGGACAGAGGGAAGTCACACGGGCCAGCTAGTAAGGCCTCTGGATCACAGACATCTCTGCTTAAGTCTATACTCCTACTCATTACCTATAAGTGAAAGACTATTCATAGCCCCTGTGGCATTCCCTGGTTAGTTGTGGCCTTGACATGATAAATGCTCATTTCCTTTCAAGGTGAAAAACCAGGTCAAATCATTTCATCACAACTGATTCCATTAGGATGAGATAAGGATTTTTACTTGTCTGCCTTTACCCGTGGAGAAACCTGGTTCTCAGGATGTGCCATAGTATCATGGCATAGCCTGGTCTGCAGGATTGGGGGTCACTAACCCTGCAATAACTGGGCACTGATAAGATGAAGGGGTGTCATGTACAGCTGGGAATATGATGCACGGACAAGAAAAAATCTCAGTGCTGGCAATGTCCTGAGCTTCAGCCCATTGGTAATCCAGCTCCTGGAGAAATGTAATTACGGCTCAATTGCCTCAGCTCTAGTGCATCTAGATTGACTAGTGTTCCTGAGAGCACAGGCAACAGAAGACCGTGGTCGAGAGTCTCCTTTCTCATAACATTACAGCAGGCACAAAACAATGGAGTCGATGAAGCTATCTCGTTCAACCCCTAGAATCCTTCGGAAAATTCATCCTGAAGTGACCTTAATGCAGTGACTGTGATTTTAGGTGTTGAGGAAACACAATAGAGCACAACCCTAACAAAGCCCACACTTTAGTGCAAAAAATTATACTATTAAGAATAAAAGCAACCTATGTCTCAGGCTTCAGAAGAAATCTGAGTCACGGGAGGTGACAAGAATGGTTCTGCTTTTGGATACAGGAAGGAAAAAGAGAATGTGAAAACAAAGGTCTTACCCACTTTTCTGTAGCTCTTGACCCTTTGAGCCCTAATCAACTATGTAAAGATCATCAAAATTTAAAAAAAGGAGAGAGAGAACATAGATAAGTTGAGAGTGAAGTCTTGGGTACCCCCTAATAACAGTAGGAAACGCTGGGCTGACATGAGACATATGATGGGATGTATCAAATTTGCTAATACAGCAGTAAGGAAATGTGAGAGCAAGAAGTAAGCTTAGGAATAACATCAACATGGCATTTGGAGATAAGAGAATTCTCTAGGCCATGGGGAGGAGAGATGAGCAGCCTTTGTATACATTCGTGGGTTCAGAGGAGAACAGTGGAGTTCAGGGTTTTCCATTTAAGGTGACCCTAAAAATCTACAGGCTTTGCATGACACTCAGGAGAATGGCATACTAAAAATAGAGAGACATGAACTGTTCTGGCCTTGAAGGAGTCGAGAGTAAGGTGATGTGCTCAGCTGATGAGTGACTTAGCTAGTCTGCCTGAAGCAAGCTCTCATGTTTTCTAAAGCAAGACATCAACGTTTTCTACTAATGGTTTACTCAGTGCGAGGAATTGAATAAGAAGTGATTTGACACAAATGGGTCGACAAAATATGATTTGAGCAACAAGCAGTATAGACTTGAGAGGATGCAGAGAGCCATGAACAATCCTAGCAGTAGTATTTTCAGTACCCATAAATAAATGACAAGAGGACATGGCAAACAGATAAACAGAAAAAACAAATACATATTTCAGAAAAGGCAAGATAGACTTGCACAATTTTCATTGAAATTTACATACATATGATCAAATCAATTAAGAGCCACCTTACTTTTCAGCAATTGCCATTTTCAGTTTATAGATTTCAGAAAAACTGTTCATATTCATGTCCAACAGTTTGAGTTCAGATTTCCATATTGCTTTTACAGACTGAAATGTGTTATGGTTTATTTCCAGGTTCTTCTTATTTTCTGAAAAGATACAAGTTTTCTTTGTGTCTGTGCATATGAACCAAAGGACTTTACAGAGGAAGAGAGAGAGAACAAAGTTCTTCGAAGCAAGAAGCCAGTCTCCACCTGCCCCACCACATCTCCCTGATACTCCATGAGACGCCTTCTCTCTGTGAAGCAACATACCTCCCAGAATCCTCAAGGTTCTCAGCTGTAAATCCTTGATTCCATCTTCGGCCGCTAACAGCTTTTTGAGAAAAGACAGTTTAGAAATGGCTGCAGAACAACAATCTCAATGACCTTAACACCACAGAAATGTATATTGAAAATTGTTCAATAGTTAATTTTATGTTATGTCAAACTTCAATGTTAATTTTATTTTGGACAATTAATAAAAAAGGAAAACATTGCTCAGCTCCCTGAGTTACTGTCTCAAAAATGTGGTTCATCTTGTTGCCTGCTCACACTAGATCCTTCAGCCAAGTATTTTTGTTGTTGTTCCTTTTTTGACAATAGTTTCTCTTCCCTGGAATCAGCATCATTAAAGGTAACTTGATCTTACAGAAAGTATTCTAATGTCTGATTATTTCCAAGAACAAAATTCCACATAGAGATCATATCAATTTTATCTCTAAAAACATGAAATGTTTCTCATCAAACCTACGGTATGCAATGTAAGTTATGTACCAACTACTAAGAAAAACCTCTGAAATTACTGAGGTTTTCATTGAAATCAGTTCTTTCGGGCCCAGCGGCGTGGCCTAGTGGCTAAAGTCCTCACCTTGAACGCACCTGGATCCCATAGGGGCACCGGTTCTAATCCTGGCAGCTCCACTTCCCATACAGCTCCCTGCTTGTGGCCTGAGAAAGCAGTTGAAGACGACCCAAGATCTTGGGACCCTGCACCCACACGGGAGACCTGGAGGATGCTCCTGGCTCCTGGCTCCAGATTGGCACAGCACCAGCCGTTGTGCTCACTTGGGGAGTGAATCATCGGATGGAAGGTCTTCCTCTCTATCTCTCCTCCTCTCTGTATATCTGACTTTGTAATAATAAATAAATAAATAAATAGATAAATCTTTTAAAAATCAGTTTTTTCATATTTTCAGTGGGAATCCTTATTTCCACTATCTATGCAAAGCAAAGAAATGAAAGAAAAAGTGGAGTGAAACAAAATACAATGCAACAGGAATTTGACACAGCAGTTAAGCCTCGGCTTGGGAATTGTGACTTCTGTATTGGAATTTAACTGTATTTTTAATTCCAAGGAAATCTTAGGTGATAAGCTGCAAAGGTGAAGCATCAACCATGCATTTCCCATGGCTACTTCTACAATTTATAGGCGTGTAACAAATTCAAACTGGGAATAGGAGAATGTCAGGCACATAAGAAAGTGAGGAGGGAAAGACACTGAAGCAAAACTACTTTGTGGCACTAATAAACCCCCTTTTCAGGAAATAAGGAGAGATGACTGAGAAAGATAGGGCAAATATGGAGTAAATATTCAAATCAAGAAGGTTGAATGAACTTTTTAATGAAACAGTTTTCTTAATGAATTATTAGAGAATAAAAATAAAGTCAGGTCTCCCTGACTTTTTTGCTGAGCATTAAGAAGGGTGGGAACTTTTTGTTTATTTTTCTTGCTAAGGCAGATTTACAGAAAGAAGGAGATACAAAGATCTTCCATCTGCTGGTCACAATGGCTTCCCCAAGTGGTCACAATGGCTGGAACTGAACCAAATTGAAGCCAGGAGCTTCTTCCAGGTTTCCCATGTGTGTGCAGGGTTCCACAGCTTTGGGACATCCTCAACTGCTTTCCCAAGTTACAAACAGGGAGTTGGATGAAAAGTGGAGCAGCTGGGACACAAACCAGTGCCCATTTGGGATCCTGGAGTTTGCAAGGGGAGAATTTAGCCACTGGACTGCCACATCTGGGCTGAGTGGGAACTTTTAAATTTGATCCTATGTATCTTCCTTCACATATCATTCATTTTCTAAGTTTTTCTCTGTATCTTGCATAATAATGATGAATTTTGTGATAATTAACATACTTATTCAAATTAAGATGTAAAATGGTTTGGGTCTAGCACAGTAGCCTAGCAGCTAAATTCCTCTCCTTGAACGCACCAGAATCTCATATGGGCACCAGTTCTAATCCCAGTAGCCCTGCTTCCCATTTAGCTCTCTGCCTGTGGCCTGGGAAAGCAGTCGAGGAAGGCCAAAACCTTGGGACTCTGCAGCCATGTGGGAGACGTGGAAGAGGGTCCTGGCTCCTGGCTTCGGATTGGTTCCACTCTGGTCATTGCGACCGCTTGGGGAGTGAATCATCGGACAGAAGATCTTCCTCTCTGTCTCTTCTCCTCTCTGTATATCTGCCTTTCCAATAAAAACAAATATTTAAACAAAGTTGTAAAATGGTTTATTCCTCCATATTCCTATTCTTTTACTCTGATAAAAAGCAAAAGAAAATGCACCATCTAACACATTCAATGAATTAAATAGCTCAGAGCCAAATTATAATAAAATCTAGACACCAAATTCTTACCAAGCGTTTATCCTTGTCATTCTGTTCTCCAAATTTCAGGTTACGTGTGCTTTGCATCTGTTCATTCAACGGATTTTCAGTATTGTCACATTTTTGTACATCATCCTTCAATAAAACATATTGAATCAGTAACATTCATTTTTTTACTTCCTTTTACAATTCCACATAAGTGAAGGGTTTTATCTTAAATGTCATTGCTTCATAAAAGATGATCTCTTTCTGCTCTTCGGTTTCATGGAGACATTTCTTTGATTTATTGATATGTATGTATACACAATAGTAAAGAAATCAGAATTTTTTAAATGTTAATTAAGGCTCAACCAAAAACATCTTCCATTGTGGTTTATTACATGAATGAACAGAGCAAAACTTTGCAGGAAGTTGGATTTGCATGTGACACTTTAAATCGATTTTATGGAATAGTACAATGGGTAGAAATTGGGTGTAGCCAACTGCTAGCGGTGGAATGGATTCAAAGTAAAAACACGAAAATTTTAGCAGTTAAAAAGTTAATGATACCTTTTGTTCCAAAACAGAATTTTTTTGTATACGTTTTTCTATTTTCTTCTTGCCATTGTTGATATTCTGAGAAATTTGCTGCATGTTAACTAAAAGGAAATAAAAACTTAATATAAGATTATGAAGAGTATGAATTTGCACACTATACTAGCAGAAACTCCTCATTGTCTAACACTGTGGTCAGTAAGTAACTGCTATGTTTTACTTCTGGGTCTGATGAAAGCATTATAGTAATTTAAATCCAAAAAACTAATAAAGTATAACAACCAACTGTCAATGATACCCTTATTTAAAGTAGTATGAACTCTGGGGAAACACAATGGTTTCTCTCAAATACTTTGTCATTATTGCAAGTTGACACTTTTTCTTAGAAAATTCCATAATTTCAAGCAGCTTTGTCTTTGTCAGAGGTGAAACTGAAGACTCCAAGATCTCTAGCTTCCTAGGTTTCTGTCTTGTAATTACGAAACAGATAAATAGGTCCTTTCCACAAAGGTTAAAATTTCACGAGGTTTGCATCACTTGTAGTCACTGCTTAAATTTCCATAGAAGGAATAGCCAAAGAGTCGCTGAACTCCAACAGCTTCAGTGATGTCCTGCAGCCCAGTGACTATCACACCTAAGAAAGTTCATCGAGCATGGCGCCGTGGCACACTACATTAAGCTGCTGCCTGCAGTTTCAGCATGCCATATGAGTGTCGGTTCAACTCCTGGCTGCTCCACTTCCCATCCAGCACCCTGATACTATACCTGGAAATTCATCAAAAGATAACCTTAATGGTTGGGCTCACACACACAAGTGGGAGATCCAGGAAAATATTCTGGTTCCTGGCTCTAGTCCTGAAATGTGCCCAATCATTTGGGCCATTGGGAGAAAGTACCAGTATTTAAAAGAAATGTCTCTGTTTCAAATAAAATACATTTTAAAAAATAAACACTAGCACTTTAGGCCTGCTACATCCCAGTGATCTGGGCTTAGTTATGTTTTGTAAAACCTGCATTCAGCTCACCCTCCTCGTTGTGCTTCATGCTGCTTCTCCACTGGCATGGCATTAAACAATTCTGACCATACGAGGTCAGAACATGCAGAATATTATCATAACAGAACTGGGTTCTTCTCTAAGCCTTAAGCTTCTTAATAGGTTCTGATCTTGTCTTTTCTTCAATGATTAATTTTAAAGAAGTTACAAGGAGGGAGGGATAGAGATTTATTACCCACTGCTACACTCTGCAAGTGGACATAATGACCAGAGCTGAGCCAGGCCAAAGTCAGTGCAAGTAACTTTATCCAGGTCTCCCAAGTGGGCGTCGTAGGCTCAAACGCTTGGGCTTCTTTCTATTGTTTGTTTGTTTTTCCCAGTCCATTAGCAGGAAGCTGTATCAGAAGTGGAGCAGGGGCAGGCATAGTAATATAGCATGCTAATTCTCTAGCTGCAGCATTTTTATCCTGTTTGGACACAAGATTATGTCCTGGCTGATCATTTTTGATCCAATCCTTTTTACTTTTTTTATTGGAAAGGCAGATATACAGAGAGGAGGGGGAGAGACAGGAAGGAAGATCCTCCATCCGATGGTTCACTCCCCAAGCGGCCGCAACGGCCAGACCTGAGGCAATCCGAAGCCAGGAGCCAGGAACTCCTCCAGGTCTCCCACGCGAGTGCTGGGTCCCAAGGCTTTGGGCCGTCCTTGACTGCTTTCCCAGGCCACAAGCAGGGAGCTGGATGGGAAGTGGGGCCACCAGGATTAGAATCGGCGCCCATATGGGATCCTGGCGTGTGCAAGGCGAGGACCCTAACCACTACAATATCGCATCAGGCCCGATCCAAACCTTTTTTTATGGCCTAGGAAAGCAGCAGAGGACAGTTCAAGTCTTTGGAGCCTTGCAATTATCTGACTCCTGGCTCACAGCTTTAGACTGACTCAACTTTAACTATTATGGTTATCGGAAGAGTAATCCAGCAGAAGGAAGATCTCTCTCATCTCTCTCTCCCTGTCTCTCCTTTCTGTAAATCCACCTTACTATTAAAAATAAATACCTCTTAAAAAAAATAAATGGAGCCTTTAGGACACAAACCAGCACACATACGCAATGCTCGTTTTGTAGCCAGTGGCTTTTCTTGTTATGCCACAATGCTGGGCTCTCAGATTATCTCTCAGGCATGTTTTCATTTTTCCGACAGCCAGGCTGTGCTTCAATGCTCCCACTACACTTCAGACTCTTAGCTTCATTTGTTCCTTAAGTATGTCCAGGTACGGCTACACCTAGTCTCCTATGCTCGTGAATATAACCTCTTTCTTTTTATTTTATTATTATTATTCTTATTATCATTTTATGATACAGTTCCATATTCCCTTACCCCCTCCCACCCACCTAGTTCCTCTATATCATTACTAACATGTAATTCTTCATACACAGTCATATGTCCATCATTGCGGGCATGGACAATGGCAGAGAGTCCAGAATCCTATTGTCAAGATAAAGTAAACAGTTTCATTGTAAGTCCATCTTTGGAGGTAGAAATGCATACTACATTGTATCCTCACATCTGGATGTTAGTCTCCATTTCACAGCTACTGTACATCCCCTTTAATGAAAAGTCATAATACAAAATCAGCAATAGAAAGAAAAATAGAAATTTACAATGCCATGAAGTTAAATAACGTGTTACTAGATATGACAGTCTCTATTACACAGCTACTGTACATCCCCTTAAATGAAAAGTCATAATACAAAATCAGCAATAGAAAGAAAAATAGAAATTTACAATGCCATGAAGTTAAATGACATGTTACTAGATACGACAGTCTCCATTGCATAGCTTCTACACATCCCCTTAAATGAAGAGTCATGAAACAAAATCAACATGAGGAAAAAAAGAAATTAACAACACCATGAAGTTAAATAACATGCTACTAAATGACTAACGTGTAGCTGAAGAAATGAAAATCAAGAACCTTTTTGAAGAAAATGATGCTACTCTATGATCTATGAATCATTGAATGATTTAATCAGAAAAAAGTGTTTTGAAGAGATGAAACCAACAGAAAACATCAAAACTCATGCAATATATTTTCTGCTGATTTTTGTTGGTGAAATGTGTCTCGTCTAGACAATAAACAGATGGGTTTTGTTTTTTAATCCAGTCTACTAATCTATGCTGTTTGATTGAGCTTAAGCCATTTACATTCAGGGTTAATACAAATAGGTGGTAATTTGGTCCTGTCATTTTAGCAATGGGTTGTTCATTGATTTAGTCTTCTGTTGTCATTTTACTGGGATGTTCTTCCCATTTGCCTTTGGTTTTGGTGGGTGCTATTCCTCTTCTCTGTCAAGAGAACATCTTGAAGTATGATTTGTAGGACAGATTTGGAAGAGGCATATTCTTTTAACTTTTCTTTACTGTGAAAGAATTTTATTTCATTTTCAAAGACAAAAGAAAGCTTTGCTGGATATGTCATCCTAGGCCGACAATGCTTTGTTTTTAGAATCTGGAATATGTCACTCCATTCTCTTTTTGCCTGTAGAGTTTCCTGTGAGCGGCCTCCTGTGAGTTTAATTGGGATTGCTTTATATGTCAATTGATTTTTTCAGGAGCACATTTAAGGATCTTTTCCTTATGTTCAACTGAAGAGAGCTTGATGACCACGTGTCTTGGTGAAGACTGCTTTTGATCAAGCCAGTTGGGAGTTCTGTGCCCTTCCTGGATCTTGTTTCCCAATTCTTTCTCTAGATTAGGGAAATTTTCCTTCATTATTTCATTAAATATATTTGTAAAACCAGTTTCTCTTTTCTGCACCTTCTGGGACTCCCATAACTCTTATATTTGGTCTCTTAATAGTGTCTTTCAATTCTTGAATACTTTTTTGGCCTGATCCAGCTCTGCTTCCAGCTTTTTGTTTGCTTCCCCCTGATGACAGGAAATATCTTCCAATTCTGAGATTCTTTCTTCTGCTAGCTTCATTCTGTTTTGGAGACTCTCCATTGTACTTTTAATTTGTTCTACTGTGTTCTTAATTTCTGATATGTCAGCCTTGATTTGCTTTATTGCTTCTTTAAATTGAACTCTTGCATGAGCTTCTCATTTTTGATCAGAAGCTTTAAAATGAGTGTTACGGATTCTGTGTCCCCCATTTCCTCAATGTCTTCTTCAGTGAACTCTGAGGTTGGCATAGGGTTTTGCTCCTTTGCAGGGGAGTTTTCAGTAATATTCATTGTACCTTGGTCTCTTCTTTTGCTCTTGATCATTGCACTTCTGGTTAGCAGAGTCTTCTCCTTGGGGCAGGTTTCTAAGCTGTGTCACCCACAGGTCTACAGTGTGATTTTACTTATTGTAGTTGGTATACAACTTTTTGCTTGCAGCCACTAGTGCCACAACCTCCAGCGAGTTCCAGGTCTGGGTTCTTATGTCAGATTTCCACTGTGGTCTCCACAGCCCCAGCTCCTGGCTCACCACTCTCCACCTCCTGTGATACCGTGCTGAGGCTGCACCGTTGTCTCTGCAACCTTCCTCCCGCTTCTGGTTGGAGCAGGTCCCAGGATTAGAGTGACACCAGTTGTCCTATATAATTACATTGTTGGTGGTGCTGATCTTGCTGGAACCTGTTGGACGTTGGGTCTGGGTGCCACATGGACCTTTTTGGACCCGTAAGATGCCACAGTTGCTATTATTTTCCTATAGGACCAGTGCAATCCACGAACTCAGTGAGTTCTTGCCGAGCTCAGCACATGTGCAGGTCACTGTTGTCCCCTGCAGTCCTAAAGCTATTGCCACAGTGTGCCAAATGGTGTCTGACATACCACTACTTCAGTTCTTGATCTGCTGGCCATCAAATCTGAGGGCTACCCAGACCTATCTTGCGCAGAACCTGTAGAATGCCATGTTGCTGCAGTTCACTGAGTCAGAAATGAGTTCACTCCCAGCTCAGTGTATGCTCAGTCCTTGCCTTTGCCTCCTTATGCAAAATGGCACCCAATTCAGCTCTAGGGGGCTGACTAGGCTATGAAATCCACCCTGTTCTTGCACTGCCCATCTGGGATCTGCTGCTCTGTCTCTGCACCTGGGCAAATCAAACGGACCAGTGGGACGGAAAGTTCTTTGTCTGGGTTCACCTCCCAAGCTCCCAGTGAAAGTCCCTTCCCATCTGGTTGCTGGTGGAGTTCCGGCTGCTGGTGAAGTTCAGATGGCTGTTAGCTGAATGCTGCTGGGGTATCAGTCACTGCAACACCACACCATTGTGTCTGCTGCTTTCCTGTGTCTGTCAGTCTCCAGGTACCCCTCTGCTATTGTTCCATCCTTTCCTGTTTCCTGGAATATGTCCTCTCTGCTTCATCCTGATTAAATGTTTTTCTGTCCTTTTAAAACGTGTCCTTACCCTATTTTGCCATCTTGATTCCACCTCCCCTTTCTCTTCTTTGATCTTAACAGTTCACAAATCTTTCTTCACTATTTAGAAAGTAAATAATTACTAAAAGATTATTACAACATTCAACAGGAAAGAAGCCAAGAAGGAGTGCTGTATTGACTTTATACTTGTAAGATTTTAATTAGAGCTCACATCTCATAGAAATAATCAGAAGGGCCCTGGGGGTCGAGCTGAGATGGAGTCCGGGTGGAGGGCGGACTGGGAGTCCGGTGAGCTAAACCTTCGCGGGCCTGGCCGCGGAAGACGCTGGATGGGACAGCTGCCCCATGCCCACCACACACGAGCCGCAGCTGCATCCATGTGGAGTGCGGCCACAGGGCGGGCCAGCACGCCATTAGGCGCTAGGCTTTGTCTGCTGGCTGCCCAGCCAGGGAACTCTGGGATTTTCATTATTAGATATGATGGTTAGATAGCTTCTAGCTGAATCTACAGGGTTTTGGGGATGTGAATTAATCCTAAAGATTCCCAAGAACAGTAAATCTTCCTCAGATAAACTTGTGAATAATACTGTTCCAACCTATGTGTTTTGATCAATTTTAAAACCTTTTACACTTTCAAAACCTTGTGCCCATCAAGAATGGGGCGGAAAGCAAATAAATCTTCCA